ATCCGGCAATTCCGCATCGTATGGTCGAACACGGCTGTTGCGGAAATTCCGCATTTATATTTTCCAACGCGGAAAAAACGCATCGTGTGGCCCGAGCCTACGATATTTTACACACTTTACAAGTATAATGTACCGCCAAAGTGAATACTCGTATAAAACACAACTTATATGTGCTCAACAATACTAGGATCAAAGAAACAATAAAATATCATTGCTAAGATATTATATGAAGAGCAACAGCACCATAGGAACAACCGACCTAACAAATCCTCCTTCGCGAGAATATAATGCAAAAACTAACGGCAATATTCAAAAACAAATTCATACGGAGGCAAGGTTCAAGTAGCAACAATTAAGTGGGGTCAGTGGGAATAAAACAATCGTCTTCCTATATATTCACAACGCACAAACAAAAATCAGGCTCATTCCTATTCTACTATTCATGCTCATTGGATTCAGCCGCAGCATCCAGGGACGGATCCACGGTTGGAAAACTGTGGGTCAGGTCATTACAAGAGGCCACTTCATAAGGTTAAAACTTGATTAGAAATCTATACTTGTGTACAATAAAAATAAAAAAATCCTATGTACTATAAGTGTATTTATTTCATTATTTTATGTATTTGATGATATTGTAATTTCTTCAGTATTTATGTTGGTCGGTCAATCTAAAATATAGACACATACATATATTAAAATACAATACCTATAAATTAAAAAGTACTGGTGAAAAAAATATACCTATAGTTATTAATTATACTATTTAATCATATACTTATATATATATATATATATTTATTTATTTATATATGCATAATAATAATAAATAATCGATTTCAAAGTAATCAATGATTAAAATTTAAATTACTGTATTAATTTTATTTCCAAAAACTCACCTTGTTTCTCCTAATGCATAAAACAAAAACTCCCCGATGGGCAATGAACTAAGGAAACATTATTGTAAAATATTAACTACTTAGTAGTTAGTATTTAATATAATATATTATAATCACTACAATATATAATCAATAAAATACTACCTTGTTTTTTAGAAGATTGAACAAAGGATAAATACTTTTATTTCCTTTTACAGAATTCTCTTTTTCTTTCATAAGTGTTCTCGCCCCACCTGACGGACGAGTTTTTTTTTAGGGTGACTGACACAGTTCTAATGGTTCAATACTCTGAAGTTAAAATTTAAAATTCACATAATCAAAACACGTCTCTCATTCATGATGAACGTCCGACGATGACAATATTATGGTAATTTTGGTTATTTGTTGACAATGGACTGTTGACTTAAATAGTTTATTTTAATTGTATGGCAATCAGGAATATCATATCATTATGTGATAAAGACTAGAGAGACAGCGAGCGATGTTATAGAAATAGTCACAGAATCATTATTATTCGACTACGGATAACGGATTTACTCCAGATTATATATAAATAGTTTCATTAGTTCTATTCTGGGAACACGCGTGTCACGACCGGCATACACAATTTTGCATGTTATTACTAGTAATACTATATCAATAGACCCATTAATATAATATATAATTATAATGTTTATATGATTCACTATTTAGCAATAAAACTTATTTTCAATTTGTAAATATAATCTAATTTTATCGGCGCAGATAAACGCGGATAATACGTCGTACATAATAAAATATGATTAATTCAACTTTCTACTAAAACGATATAATGTAACATGTAGATTATGAGTTGAGAAAATGTAAATTAGTTATTTATTTGTGAAGTAAATCCAAAGGGTCCAACGGTCTAAGTGTCTAACTACCCATGAACCCATGATCTGAAAAGAAGCAAATTCACAAAGAGGCCAATTTAGTCAGGAAATATTAACTGTGGATCAGCTGACCTCCTGACCTGAAGCCGTTTTCAAAGTACGATCAGCCATTGCAGTCAAACCTAAAAATAAGAAAATTAAAACAACTATTGTAAATAATTAATTTCAACTTAATTACTATAACTTTTATATTTAATGATCATTTTTAGAAATAGAACACAAATAGTAAAATAAAAATATGTTTGAAGTTATTAATGTTGTAAAACAAATTATATATTTTAACATATTGTATCTTATACATTTAGCTAATTATAATAAGTGATTATTTAAAATTTATGATACAAATAAATGTTGTATAAATTAAAAATTGTCTGAAGAAGGTTGCTCTTATTGGATATCTTTTTTAATAAAAATGTTATGTTAAAACATTTTCCCTGTGCAATTTTTTGGTAGCAATTGTGATTTATCAATACACAAACAATGATTTACAGTATATGTATAGGTATATTACATTCAACCTTGTTTATTAGGATTTTACTTTTTAAAGGAAAAGAATTAAGACAAAAATAAAGTTACAATAAAAAATGAAAACTAAATTAGGTACTTATATAGTTTTATATTAAATGAAAATTGAAGAAAATAATTCAAATTATTTTTGTTTCAAAGCAAATTTAAATAGTTAAATATATATTATAAACATTTTTTATGCATTGTCTTAATAATTTAGGTATAAAGGACCATATTATTTACTATTTTTCTTTTTCCAGAACAATGATCATTTCTCGTGAAAGCTATATACAGATAAATAATGTGTAAAATTTTGAAAAAAAATATTATTGATTATCACAAAGCTTATAATTATGAATTCTTCCGCCGGTAACCGTGCGGTTGATGTTACACATACTACATATTGAAATTGCCTATACATGACGCCTTTATTCACGTTTTGCTACTTTTATAATATTATGTACACACGAATAATTTGAATAACATACATGAAAAAAAAATCTACTATACTGATGTCTCATTTCAATTCATTTTTAATGTTTTTTTTTTTTTTAATCTTTAAACTAAGACACTTCATTACACAATAAATCAGTTTTAATTGGAATGTTAATTTAGATTACTTGTTTTAAAATTGTAAAACAATAAATTAATACACAATCCAGGAATTCAATTAGACGAAACATACAATGGAAAAAATCACAAAATAAATTGTTTGTACACCAAAATTCACCTAACCTAACCTAGAATATTATAAAATAGTAATAATCCAGAAAACCAAATAACCTATGAACTATACTTGGTATAATATTTATAAAAAGCAAATAAGAAATACTTACTAATTTGTAATTGAAAACTTAATATTCTGGTAGAAAAATGTATCATATTATTATATAGTTAAAAAATATAAATATGCATTTTTTTTTTATGATAAAACATAAGTTTGTACTTAAAATAAACAAAGTACGTATAGAAAAAATATTACATTTTCTAACTATTAATTTCACGAGCTTGATACATTTTTTTTTTGCAGTACATTAAAATATATTATATTTTTAAATATAGCCAATATAGATTAAATAACATTCTAATGATTTGTTGACATTTGAACAAGTACTACGCGGTACTACTAGAGCTACCATAGTTAAACATTTAAATATTTAATCCATTTTTAAATACACATTAGAATATTCATAATAAATAATAATACCAAAATATTCTTTAAAAATACGAATAGGATAATTGTTAATAAACAATTTTTATGAACATATTACGTAATATATATCAAATAAATCCATGTAAATTCATCGACTCACACATTTTAATATCATTAATAATTAATATCTTTCAAACTCATTGCACATCGCAAATGGATGTGCTCTGAGTACTCTGTTTATTTCAATTATCCACATCGTTACTTATAGTATACATGTTTCGATTTTAACTATTGGTGTTATTAATTAATAATTATTTAGAATACGTTTACAAATAATAAAAAGTCATCCTTATTTTAATCAACATTTAAATGACTGTTTGGACGTAAACTATAAAAAAAAAACTAAAAATGTCATCAGTAAAAATCGTGAGAAGTAATAACTACCTCTTAAACATATTATAATTATAAGTTATATTATTATAATGAATAATGGTTAGAACATTTAGAAAATTGTTCACGTGAAATAAATATGTTTAAAATCTTTAAAATTATCGAGATTGTTGAATGTTATGACTAAGTATGTAAGCTGGTGGGTACATAGAGTATTATAAACATTAAATTATTTAAATAACGAAAACAATTTTAACGAATACAAATATATAGAACACAATTTTATGTTAAACTTTGTTGGTTTGTACATACTATAGTATACATTACTTTCGAGACATCATAATAATGTCAAAAACAAAATCTCATTAAAAATAAAAATCATGCATTACTGTTTAGTATTTAGTACGTAATATTAATATTAATAATGAAAATCAGTGACCATTTTACCTTTTAAATTACGTAACATCAACCAGTTGTTGTAATCTATAAGTTATAATATTATAATACATCTTTCTATTTATCGTAATAATTTGCAGCCCTTAAAACTGCCCTACAGATACGACCTTAACAAGTCATCCTAACTAGTTTTTACTAAAATAGGAAAACTGGAAAACTCACCATTGTTATAGTACTGAACCGTGTTATTGCGGTTGATCCGTAGGTCCGGTTCACATCCTCTATCTGTGCGCCACTGTCATAGATTTCCTGTTTTCTTTTTTTCAGTCAATCGAAATGAAACATTTCCTACCATTATTTATTTCCTATAACATTATAATTTATTACATAGAATTCGTGATGCCGTTTCATTCAAAGAGGCAATCCCAGGTTTACCTAAATCAATATAAATATAATATATAGGTACCACGGAACCGTGTAAAATTTCTACTGAATTAAATTTTAAAATGATTGAACACCTAATTTTGTCTATTATGACTATAAAACGAATACAATAAATTAAATACTTGTTTTACAAACAAAATATGCACTTTAATGTACCTAATGATATTGGTGACATAAAAAAATGCAATTCTCTGAAACTTGTACACTTGTAAACTTTGATCACTACGACTATAATAATTAACAACCGATATAAAAAAAATACAATTTACACTTATAATTTCGAATTCCTGACATTTTAAATTATAAATTATAATAAACACAAGCAGAATAAGAATACATTTTGATTAGAACATTATATAATTCATTAATATAAATTACTAATTAGATTAATATTTCAACCTTATAGGAACAGACTTTTTTAGCCTCAAAATAGGTAATGTTGACATAATTTGGTAGTGTAACTAACAATCTCGTCTAAATAGAAGAAATTTATGTTGATCAATGGGTAGAATATAAAGTAGAGTCATGATAGAATTGGAAAAAATCGAGATAGAAACGTGCTGGTGAAATAATATGTTTTCAACAGTAGTCGACAGAATGAACTCTGTAGGTAGTGTAGGTACTATACATTTTTACATTTTACCTCTTACCTATTACTGCATTATATTATTTTATTATTATAATTTATTCAACGCTGAAAGTTTAAAATGCTAACTGACAAAAAAAATTTTTAAAAAAGTATTGAAATTTGTTCGATTGTAAAATTATCAAGTTATATAATACAATATACCTAGGTATTGGCTATTATCTATCCAATATTCAAATTTTCAAATTTTCCAAAACAATAGTATAACACTATTCTGTAACAATTTTTTAGTTTTAGTTTTTTACATTATTATTACTGACTATGTCGCCGAAGTGTGTTTCCATCGCTTAATTATATTAAGTAAAATATTAAATTGTGTTAACTAATTAGCAATTAATAATAAATACCATTTTTTAAGTATAAGTAACTTTGGCTGATACCAAATTAGTTCCCGAGCCTCAACCCCACATCATCGATTTGGTTCCCGTTTGAAAAAGATATTTTATTAAAATAAGCCAAACTGGTTAACACTAAAAAAAAGTATTTTTTAAAGTTGAGCCGAATTTGTTCCCGTTTAATTTTGCACATTTTAATTCTCAATTTTACAGGCTTAGGACTGTCAACTTCAGTGTCGAAAATGGTTAAAAATGTGTTGTTAATGTGTGTTAAAATGTAAAAAAATATAATATTATAATATATACAATTTTAAATCGTTGTTTTGAGAATTCGAAGCAAACTTTCTTCAAATATATTCAATTTGTGTAAGTTTCTCATTAATGTACTCAGTCATACAATTTTCCAAGTCTTGGTTATTTCTTTTCTGTTTGCTGGTAAGTTCCCTTACATTATTACTTCGAAATCGACTTTAACGACAATATAACAATTTATTGCTATTTCATAGTATATACTATGTAGGTACATTTATATTTTATACTATCTAATTTATATTTTGTACCAATTATACAAACATATGATTTAGTGGCAGGCTTACTACTGAAAAAGAATGCTTAAAAATGAAAATTGCAACTATTTGACCTGAACACAAATGGGAACTAATGTTCGACTTTATTAAATTATAAAATACCTTTTTCAAACGGAAACCAACTCGGTCAACTACGAACCGTAACTTTTTAACCGTAACTTCGGTTGTTGTTCTTCACTATATTCCTATGTTGAAACTTGAAGCTTTAGACTTAACTATGACCGAGTACTATAGTTTTAATGGTAAAGTCATATTCCATTCAAGCCGTAGTTTTCCAGTCTAACTTACTTATATCGTAAAGTAATTAGTTCTTTTTACCGCCTTCGTTTCGGCCACTCTTTACTCCCCTCACATTCCTTCAAATTATCCTTAAATGACTCGCCTCTCTGTATTTTTCCTCACAGTCCAGCGATCTGTGATTTAATCACATTTTTTTTGACTGCCCCTTCTTGTCGGCAGAACTTTTCTCTCCTTCACTCTCTCAACATCACACCCGACCCTTGCCAAATACTTTCCTCTCAATCTGTTACTGCCGTTACCCCCACAATTTCGTTCTTTCTTAATTCTGGGTTGCTTACATAATTACCTATAGCATGTACACTTAATTGTTGAGATTAATTGTAAATTACAAAATTTCAATAAAAAAAAGTCATATTATTTTTATTGGGGAAAAATAATAAGTACTTACTGATTGTTTGTTCACTCATTTACAATTTAACTAAAGTCTGTTTTAAAAAATCCTTTAGTTATTTAAATTTAACTTATCCTATTATAAGCTATCATCGTAGATTTTTTTTTATTGATATGGAGTTTTTCGTACTTAGTAGTTACTTTTAACGAAATAGAATTTTATCCTTGCAGGATACGGAAATTCAAATAAAATAATAATGTGATATTTGAATAATCGACAAACTTATGCCTATATTAAAATAATATGAAATTATACGTGTCTTGGACGATAGATAATAATGTGTATGAAAAGTAAGAGCGTTTATTCGTATAACCATACCTCATGTCCTCATGGTTAGAGTTTAAACGAGTGACGAGTGTATCTTGATTCTTGGGACGTGTCATGCGTATGTATCACAATATCTTTAAAAATGTATTATATAATATATTTATTATATACCTGGATATATATAAGTATAATATATTAATATCATACCACATCGGGCTCCTCACGCAAAGTCATCAGTCAAGTAGGATCGGCTTTGCTTATAATATTATATACTATGCATTATATGACGAAAGAAATTTAATAAACTACGTTTTAATATGCTATATATAGCTGTACCTTATACCATAATAATATAATATGCATTGGATACATTCCCACACTTTGCCAAGGTGTTATTAGTCTAACATTGCCATAATACTCATAATATATTTCGCACTCTGGGACATATATTATTACCTATATGTGTTTCAATTACCTGCCTCTATAATATTATTATAATTATTATTATATAATAATTATTGTAGCGATGGCTCAATGTCAGTCGACTAGAAACGAACCCGATTTTTTTTCGAACACAATACGTCGGATATAAAAACATTATAGCAAATGAGCCTTAACATTTTTTGGTACATTTAGGTGTAAAAATAGCTAACAAACCTAATTTAATAGTATTATACTTACATAATTTTAAACGAGAAACACGAAGGTCCACTCAACTCTGCATATTATGGTCTATTGTAGTTAAGTCAACCAATAGTGTCGAGCATCCGATTGATAATATATTATACCGACAATGGTAATTAATCGTATTCGTCGATCAGATGCGATCTTCATATTATTATGTAATTATGACACAATCGTCACGTTCGTTATTGTTCGTATTGTTTTTTACAGGTAAATGTGTCCACGTTCGATGACAGTGCAACTAAAATACGACATTATTATTCAATATATTGTTACAAATTTAAAGTTATTTTTATATCCATGACAAATATATGGCATTCTTGTCATTAATCGGATAGCAGATTATTGTTTGGTTGTCCAAGTACAACTTCATCATAGTGGATAATTAACAACGACGAATGCCGCATATTATAGGTATACAATTCGTGCATTAAACTGCGCAGGTCTTGAGTATTATGCTATATGAGCCTATACCATAAATAAAGTATTGAAACCACACGTAATTAATACCATCCGGTGAGCCTACAACGCCCCGAAATCGCATCTCAATAAATCATCATATTGGTTGAACCATAAATATAAATACCTCTTTCAACTTCGTTGTAAATTATTAAGATCGCTGTCTACCTACAAATGCGTATTATAGAGCGTATAATGTTATATGGTAACTTGAATTTTTATATTTTGTAAAACTCAATAGCTATTATTTTTGCACTTTTCTCCTTTTTATAATGCCTGTGATCCATTAATATGATATGTTTAAAAATTTAAATCATTTAGAAAATAAGTAACGAATTGTTTAATTATAGCTTATCAAATTATACAAATAATCGATTCACAATATTTTATGTTAGACGCATAGTAGTAGTGTATTGTTTTTAATAAGCTTCGTGAATAGTTATCCACTTATTTATCTATTATTATTGAGTATCAAACAATTATTATACGACCGTCATTAAAACTGTTCGTTACTTGAACTTTTTGATGAAGAAAATTAATTGCGCTGGTCCAACGCAATTATTTTTATAATAATATTATACCGATGTCATATTATGTTGTGATGCCGAAAATTCGGGTAACGAGTAAATCATATGATGCGAAACCATTTTTATTGTAGGTGAGCCGTAAAATGCAATAGATAAAAGTATACCTTTAATAATAATATTTTATGTGTCACTACGTACTGTATTGGGTATAACGATGGCCAATAATAATAAGAATAATAATAATATATACCAATATAGAAATGCGATGTATTATTCTTCTCGCAAATCGATCAGACACGTCATGCGTTTATGGCCTCAGTTTGTTTCCGTTTGCCATACGGCCTACTCCCCCCCCCCTTATCTCATCCATTACATCATTATCTTGTCCATCCGACGTACGATGTATATAAATTATGAGCTCGCGTTGGTTTGCGACCGGGGGTCGTTGCGCATTACAATATTGTATGCACACACACATTATGAATGTACATCGTGTAATCCGATGACAACGGATCACCTGGCCGATTCCCGGGGGACACCGCACGCTGCAGTCACCGCCGCCACTATAGTAAAACATTTTCCTCTCGTCAGCCCGGCTATTATTACTATTATTATATTACTCACGACTATGATGAGACGTACTGCACTGCACGTTTAACAAATAGACGCGATAGGTATAGATGGTCAAGGGTGCATGTCGTATATGAGGGGAGCGATACTGGTTGCAGGACTCAGCAGAAGCCGATACCCCTGCATATCCGCCCGAAATCGAACCAGCTAGCTGACTCCATTACAAAACATCAATCTTCTTTTTCTTCTTCAATGTATACATAAATAATTTGACTCTAGGTAAGTATTATTATCACAGATAGACACATAGACGACGAATGTTAGTTGTTTTTTTTTTTATTAGTTTAAAAATGTTTGGGTAAAATTGTATTAAAAAACACATTACTATGAGGAGGAAGATTTTTGAAATTTCCCAGAAAATATGAGATGTGCATATTTCGGCTTGTGCATATTTTGAAATTGTCGTGTGAGTGAAGGTCGTAGTTTTAAGACGCACAAAACCACTTTAGTCTTTATCATTATCGCACCATTTGTTTTCTCTCTCTGACCCCCGTGCAACATAGAGCAATAAGAAAATATATGTATAACAGAACCAACCCTGCAATCTTCTATAATAATTTGTATGTTGAAAGCTAATAAAATAAAAAACCACTTGCTGTTTCTTAGAGTAAATTCACTTATTAATTATTATCAAACTTAAAGCTGAGAACATTACCTGGGTTCCCATACTTTGGCTTTTTTACAATATGTTATTTTTATACAATTTATAGGCATTTTTAAACTGTAATAATTTACACACTCATTATAAATTACATAAAAATTAAAATGCCATAAAATATCCAACATAGGGACACAGAAAGTTCTTAACTTCAACTTTCAAGTTTGATAATAGATGAATTCACTCTAATATTAAAAGTAATAACATAGGGTTGGTTCTGCTAAACGTAAATTTACTAGGTATGTTGCGCATGGGTCGGATACCGAGAGAAAACAAATAGTATGCTGACATCCTCTTAATAGTATAGTGTATATTATCTATAGGTTTATTATTGCAACATCAACGTCAACAATTTTTCACATCAAAATTATATTTATTTTGTATAAAATATTGTAGTACCCCGGTAAGCAAAGCAATTCTTAAAAATATAAATAAGAAAGCATTATAATAGGATAAGATATGATATGGAATAAATATAAATATAATGTAGGGACAAACATGTTTAGGAATAAAAAGGATTATTCCGTATTAGAGTAGATATCGTCTTTAACAAGAATAAACTATTATACAATTTAATGGATTAATATAGTTAACAGAATATAGTGAAAATTAGGAAAAGATGAAATGTAAGTGACGTCATAAAATAATTCAATTTATGCTCTAACTAAATCTAAAGTTTATAGTATGCTTCTTAAAGGTAATTAAGTTATTAAAATTATAATTTATATTAAAATAAATACATAATTTCAGACCAATATAAAATACACTTTTTTGTCCATATCATTATATGATTTTTTAATCAAAAATATGTATAGGTGCACATTTTCCAATGATATTTACGATGCATATAGAAACGTTACATAGTCTTACTACACATTTCGGCTATTTTACGTTTATTGTTTTGATATTTTTACTTTTGAGCAATCTATATATTATTATATTATACTTAGACACGTAGTATATTAAGACAACGTATAACAATTGTCGACAACTATCAGTGCGACGATACATGATGTGAAATATATTACACCCATAATACCTACCAACTTATCTACCTTATTATGTCTATTTATACGTGTTTTTTCATTCCCTTTTTTTCTAAACAAGCTCGTTTATATGATATGGCCGGAACTTATTATCAATATTGTGTGTCGTCACCGAGTCAGTAAATATTTTGATTATTTTCACGACACAATAATGTATAAATCGACGAGATTAATGGCGACTGAATAATAAACGAGCCATGTTTACGGTCCGCGGCGGATCCATGACCGTGTCCATAAACGACGCCGCCGAAAACCGTTAACGGTTCCGCGAAAAGCGCACACGATTATCGTCGCCCAAATATCTTGTGCCACGAGACTGCGACACATAATTAATGTGTGATATCATACATACGCGAGTGGTTGCACCGGCGTCGTTGGTATACCTCGGTTTAATACCCGATGTTATTATTATTATTATTTACATAATATTACCTGGTTACCACCTATCAGTGCCCACACGGGTGCGATTTATTATTGTAATAATAATATATAGGCGTAACCATAACCGTCGCGCACAGGTAAAGCGCATAACATTATCATACGATTTTGTACCGAATTTTCTGCAGTTGATCGGAGTCCTCGATGGTGTTATAGGTTTTTCTCACCAATTAATATACTTAAATGCGCTCGTCAACCCCAGTGGGCATGCCTCAGTGTGCACGGTGTTCGCAAATTGAATAATAATAATAATATTATATTGTGTTACCTATTAGCAGGCAATAGCTAAGTACACGTATCGATGGCGTGTGTAGATGCGCTATTATTATTTTTAATCGCATAAGAACAAGAGTACTTATATACTGTGCAGTGCAGTGCAGACCATATTATATTATATTATAGTATTATACGTAGGTATTATATCAGGTGCGCGTGGAATATTTATATACACCAAATCGATCAATACGACATTGTCATATAATATATTATATGCGTTGGAATTTTAAATTATATGTATCTGCTCGTCGAAGCTTTGCGGTGAATAATAATTATTATGGTTATAATATGGCTATATGTAGGTAGGTACCTACTTATTACATATTATTATGCCTGTGCCTATGCATATTACAATAATTTGTTTAAATATAAAACGATAATCCAATTATATAGCTTGTAATAGGTAGGTAATGACGCAAGTATACTGCACGTGGCCGTGTGTCGTATTTTTTTAAACATACATCATATATAAGGCGAAATACGTATACGATGCAATAGTGGTTTTAATTTTCATTTCAAATCTTGAAGACTGTCAGACTGTGTATACCCTGCAAAGTTATAATATAAACCTGAATACGTGATGATTACAGTAAAACTTCCATTTAACAAAAACCAAAGTTGTCAGTTTAACGAAATATTTTTTGAGAACCAAATTTATTTAATTTTGTTCAATGAAATTCTCTATAATACGATTTTTTTTTTTTGCCCTTGAAACTGTAAGTCATGGAAGTTTCAACGTAATATATGTATAGTATTATATTATATACTTTTCTGGAAAACTTATTTATATTATGGTTGGCCATTGGTGCGGATCTAAGATTTTTATGGTGAATTCAAACTGTTGATAATTCTCCTTTAGATATAATGGATGATAATATACGTATAACTTTTGGGCAAGTACAAATTTTGAACGTAGAACATTTCATCATTTAATATAGTTTCAATATTAGACAAATTTTTGTTAGCTGGGATGTGTCCTTCAAGTGCAGGAATAAATGTTGAATATTTACTATCAATTTTATGGATTTTAACTCTTGAATAATGTGATCTAATACTGGTTATTAATTCAATAGGCTTGCTGGTGTTGTCATTAATATTACTTATTTTAGTTTGATGATCACCAAGTCGCTGGACTTGCAATTCTTCACAAAATGTTTGTGCTGCATATTGAAATGAAGTGCTAAATGTTATGTCTGGATTTTGAAGC